TCTCTTCTCTTCTCTTCTCTTCTCTTCTCTTCTCTTCTCTCCTCTCCCCTCCCCTCCCCTCCCCTCCCCTCCCCTCCCTAACCATCTCAAAGGCCCTCAATCTCCCCATTTTATAATCATATATATCATCTGACTAGACTTGATAACATCCCCCTCAATTATCATCTCTTAAATCCGTTTCTAAGCGGGAAGAATCCTGCTTTAATCCCACCCAAACTATCCACCATTAAATGCTTCCCATTGAGATCTCCAGTCATGGGGTTGGGGTTAGCAGGGCCGTGTTCTCAGCTAATGGTGGTGTGACCCACATGCTGGTTCAGTGTTTGTCTGCCACTAGAGACTGCTTGTGAGAGCAGCTGGACCAAAGTGGAGTCCAATGAGCGTCACCCAGGTATTTGACATGGAGTTATCAGCCTCAAGCAGTGAGCTGGAACCAATCTGCAACATCAGCAAGTCCCTGCTAATTCCCAGGCACTCTTATCAGCAATCACGTATCTTGATTGTGCCTCCAGACTGGTATCTCCACTTCCAGATGTGAGCCCTGTTATTCAACATTATAAGGTAAACGTTGAGACCCCATACAGGATCTGCTACCCTCCACTTTTATTTCCTTTTACAGCAGCTGTGTGTCTTCTCTCCTGTGTTTAACATGGATGAAAGCATGAACAGCCTTGTCAATAGGAAATGTGATGCTGCATGGTATGCTTGTGAATCTGAGGCTTGAAGCAGAGTGCTAAAACCCCTGTTGCCATAGCTTTCATCCCTCTTAGACTTACATGTGTCACATAAGCTGAATGAGGTACGCAGCCAAAGCAGGAGAGGAGTACAAGAAAGGAAGGAGCTGCAAGCAGAGCAGGAATCCTTTCTTTTAATTTTGGCTTCATGATTCAATACTTATGATGTCAATAACTTCAAATGGTAAACAGCAAGCTAACAAAAGGCACGTGTGGGAGGGAGTTAAAGTGGAGGCCGGGATGACTGGCATTCCTTGCAATCACAAGTCAGCTTCAAAGACCTGTGTGTTCATTTGGACCTCTCGTTAGCACTGGTGGCCATCCTAATGGAGATGCTAATGCCAGAAAGGCACAACGGTCCCATTTATACTGTGTTGGCATGTGCCTGAGCCTAGGTAACAAAGGTAGGAAATATTTCTTACATAACTATTCAATCTCCTGGGTACCTTGTGTACTGCTAGAGGAGGTAACAATAAATGGGAAGGTGTCTGCAGGAGTTAGTTCATTTTGTTTTCTGCCCTGTGAAAGGTAAAGGGAAATGTTTCAGCCAGCAAGGCTGCCTTGGGAACCTTACAGGTGAGTAACAAATTGTTCTCTTTGATAGTGTTTGTAAGAGGTGCCAATCCACACTAGGGCTGTAAAATAAGAAAGCAGCTGTTCTGTGCTGGTGCCCTGAATGGCTTTGGGTATTCCTGTGCTGACAAGTAAGCCACACAAAAAAAGGGGGGGGGGGATGGAAGGTACCTGGGTAGGTAGCAGTGACAGAAAGGAAAGGGCAGAATTTGCTTTTTAATCCGCTGCTTCTATCAGTCTTTGTTTTTTAAACTTAAGAAAAGTCAGGAATCCTCCTGTTACGTTTTGGAGATCAGCATGGGATTTATTATGGAGAAAGCCAGAAGGCAGCAGTATAGCAAGAAAAGGTGAACCTGGGCTCAAGGGGCCCATGTGCTGGGCCCTCAAAAAAGGGTTTTGATTCTAGATACTGCTTCCCATCCTGTGTGGCTCAATCCCAAGGCAAAGTATATCGTAGAATAACTTTCAGTGTTTATTATATCTTTCTGTGCTGGTTAATGCTGAAAGCAGTGTATCATGAAGAAAATTGATGCAGCCCACGTTTCTATTACAATGGGGCACTTGAACGTGTGCTCTGTGGACCTTTTTTCCCCACGTGAAGGTTAGAGCTGTGTCCAGAGGTCTGGTTTGGGTCCTACCATGTGCTCCAGCTAGCCCAGATCTTGAAGGTTACTCTGAGCATCAGCTGAAGGTCAGTGGTGTGTGAACTGTATGTATTACTTGACTATGAGTACAGCCATTCCTTAATTAGATTAATTACCTGCATGGCTTCGTGTGGAGATGCACAAATAGATCTGGGATATAAGGGAGTGCCACACTAACAGATTTGAGAGAGAAACAAGCAGAAAAGTTGTATGGGAGCTGTTGAGTCATGGCCTGAACCACTGATTGAGCACCTGGGGAAAGGATCAGGTCAGCCTTGGGAGCACAGGTGAAGGCAATTCAGCTGTGTGACCAGAAGGGATGGAGCGTGGCTGCACCTCTCTTAGACCTCATTTCAGGGCTGACTGCCACTGGGGAAGGATCTTTTTCTGGAGATTGTTCCTTGGTGAGGCTTTCTCCTGCAAATCTACAATCTTCTGATACAGGTGAGCAATCTTCTTTCTTTACAACATCTATCTGCTGCTCCTTCTGTCATCGTGCCTTTGTTGTAATGCCTTTCCCATTGCATTGGTCTGTCCAATTGCTATGCAAGGTTTGCAACAGTGCTTCTGAGTAGGGGCTGTCGCATGGATAGGCACACACATTGGTTTAGGGAATGCAGAGAGGTAAACAGTCTTATAATCTGAAGACCTACAGGCACAGAGCGTTAGAGGTTGTGGGCAGTTTCAGGCAGAGGTGTTACTCTTTTCTGGCACTGAACAAATCAAAGTTTATGTGAATGATGGCTGTATGTGCAAGTCAACTTAAGCCTGATCCAGCTGTCAATTGGTTTCTGCAAGTTTATCTTCTCCTGTTGCCCTGCAGCAGACCTGCAAGTGTTCACAGCTGTTGAGATGAACAGCACGTGTTTGCAGCTGCATTCTGTTCCCAGCACGTCTGGAGATTATGATGAGCTCTGAGAAGGGGCATAGAGGGAGGGTGAGCACATGGGGAGGGCTCTGCTTGCACAGGTGTGCTGAGAGTAAATACAAAACACTGGAGCGAGGGAGCAAGCTGGAGTTGTCGTCAGGGTGGAAGCACATTCTGCTGGTTGAATAGCACTTGTCTGGATTCAGTTTTTGGTTGTTCAGGCAGATTTCAGACAAAGCTTTTAGTTTGCCGTGCAAATAGGTGTCACCCAGGGAGTGTGGGGCTGTCAGGAGGGCTGGCTGGCCCCTAGGAAATGGGGTTCATTTCATAGGGTGGTGGTGCATCTCCAGGATTTGTTCTTCCTGTTCAGCAGAAGTGGTTGACCACACTGGTGGCAGAAGGAAATCTGTGGGGGGAGCTCTGGTGGGGACACATTAAGGATGCATCCTCTCCTTCCACAGTAATAATGAAGGCTGCTCACAGGACCTGCCAGGCAAGCTCCAGTGAATGTTATTGGAATGAATCTGATATAGTTTATTTGTGTTTCCTCTGTAGTCTTCTAATTTGGCTGCCTGTAGCCTGGGGCTCGTCTCCTTATTATGGTACTTAATGGAAATAAAATATGTGCAACACCTGTCACACTTGGACCTGAGCTCACCTGGGGTCTCTGCCTCAATATGAATAATAATAGCATCAGATTATATTTTTGAATGATTTGCTTTGTGCTTCTATACCACTGCATAATTAAATACAGCAGGGCTGTATTTAGATTGTTTTTCTGTTGCAAGGCCTATCTCGGGGCATTGCATGGAGTTAATCAGTTTTGAATAAGAAAGGCTGTGTGAAGGAGATGCCAGAAGGTTAATCCACCTACTCAGACCTTTCTGTGCCATGGGCAAATGGACTCTGGTTTACTGCTGTGGATCAGGATAAAGCATTGACCCAGAAGATCTGGCAGTGGCAAGACCCCTGTGCTATCTGGACTAGCACTGTGTATGCTGAGGGATCAGGCTGTGGGATCTGCTTTATCCTTGTGGATTGACACTGAACTGCTCTTCACACAACAAGCATTTGGGGTGAAGGGGCTGAAAGCTTGACTTGTGAAACATGCTGTGCTTGGTAATCCTGCATGCAGGCTTTTATCGAGGCAAAGAAACTGAGATGAAGTACAGGAGACTGGGTAACAGGTGTCAAAAATATTGCCTCATGTGCACGTTTTAATTTGGCTTTTAGGTTTAATACTTGACATTTTTAACTGAGTAACAGTAATACGTGTTTATGGAGGTAATAAAGCTAATGCCTTGAATGTGAACCTTTCACTGAGTGTAAGTGGCGAGGAACTACAGAGGAGCTACCTCAGTTGTAAAAATAATAAGAGAAGCAGATGGGACTGGCACAAACGTTCCTGAAGTTAGTGGGAGAGTCCAGGATTTAATCTAAATTTAGGACTTGCTTGGGCATATTCAGAATGGGTCATCCTTTTAATGTTCCTGCCTGCAGAGGGTTTCTCAGAGTGTGCCAGAATAGAAACGCACATTGGAGGAAGGACTGTTGGAGCACACGTCCTGCAGTGATGCCTCTCCATTGCTACAACTTCTGTTTGCAGGAAGGATTTATTTGACATAATAAACATAAACAAGTGGGACTGGGGGAGGGTTCTGTAAATCCTCATGGGATGGCAGAGTGAGAGTGCTAACAGGTGTCCCTTGGTCTCCCGTAGCAATCTGATAGACCATATCACTGCTGAGCAAATGGAGCCCAAGCCCAGTCTGCCTGCATTGGATGGAGAGTAGATGTTATCATTGCTGCTGCCTCACTGGAGTGCTGAGCTTCACTCTGAGTTAACGCTCAGGGCAGGACTGTCTGGGAAAGGCTTCCTGTGCCTTTCCATCAGGTTCCACGCTGCTTTCTGCTCGTGGCTTTTAATAAGAGGAGAGGATGTGCTATCACTGCTGTGCAGCTCTAGGTGCTGGGATCTGGGGAAATACATCTGTGTGCCCTTTCAAGGTGTAGGGATGGCTTCTGTGTGGCTGTGGAGAGCCGAGAAAAGCCTGCTGAGCCAGGCAGCCCATGCAGCTGAGGAATCAGAGTTGGGAAACGAGGTCTCAATGGGTGTCCATCCAAACTGTGCTGTTCCTGCACAGAGCTGAAAGCCTTCTCCGTGGAACCAATTAGACTTGTTAGGCCTGACAAAGTCACTTCTACAGCGCTGAACAAATACCAGTGAGGTTTTAATTTCCTCCCACAATTGCTTGTGATACCAGAAAACATCATCCAGTTTTGTTTATATTCGAGTAGCTCAAGTACAGCAAAAACAGAAGCAATCAGAAAAGCAGCAGCAGGTTTAACAGAGAAATGTTCTCTCATAAAGCCTTCTGACTTTGCACAGGCTAGATGCAATCCCTTGGTAGATGACATTCTTTGCAATAGGGTTTTAATTGGCCTCCGACAGCTGCAGCAAGATTGCTTCTGGAGTACCTGAGCTGCTGTTTCCAATGCTGGTTCCAATCTCAGTGTCGCAGTGTGCCATCAGCACATCTAACCATGTTGAATGGAGCAGGCTGGCCTCTGCTAGTGCTGATGAAGAGAGAAACTCAGGTTGAACTTTTTAGTAATTCCTCGTGCATCAGCCTGTTTATTGAAGATGCCTATAAAGGAGCTCATCTAGGGAAGAGTAATTGGAAAGTTCTGGAAATGGAGCTCATTCCAAATGTCTTGGGAGTTACTGTGAATGCCTGGTTGCAGTTGGAAACTCGAAGCGATGACTTTAATGGATTAAAGCTGATTCTGAAAGAAATATTACTGACTATTTTAGAACAATTTTCTTTATATGGAACTACTCGAGGCCTGCAAGCCTATCTGGTGCCTGAAAGGAGGAATGCTTTCTGTCACAGCAGTCCCAGATACCTTCCATTGAGCTTCCTTCTTGCTGTTTGCAAGCTGTGGTGAGCTGAAACAACTGTGCAGCAGTTACATGCAAATCCATCCCCCCACTCTTCTCCCAGGGCTTATCGAAATAGCAGAGGAGTTGTCACACATCCCAGAGTGGCAGAAATGATCATCAGCGTTGACGTTCTGGGTGAGCAATGTGCAGTGGGAATTCAGGAAGCCCTTTAAAAAGTCTGGATGTCTCCTAGGCTTTGCTTTGCTTTCATTCTCTGCACAAAAATCCCAACTTTTTTTTTTGGTATTTATTCTGAAAATCGGCAGCCTATAGCAGGAGAAGTTGCTATTGCAGGAAGAAACAAGTTGACAGCTGACTGCTGAAAGGGCTGATCCTGCAGCTGGCGTTGGTATTGTGCTAACTTGCACCACAACTGCAGAGATGTCTTAAGGGCCAAGAAGGAAGAAGAAGTTGGGCCGTCACAAAGCATCTCTTCAGGGAAGGGAAAGGCTGTGGGAAGCTGCAGACGTGGCCGTGTTTTTCCTTGGGCTCTGTGTTGCAGGAGGCAGTTGTGCTGTTTGCACGTACAGGGGACGATTGTGGTGATTCCCACTGCATGGATAGCTCAGTGCTTCTGCTTCGTTTGCTTCTTCCTACGCTTGTGCAGCGTGGGTAGGATGCCCTAAGGAGAAAAAAACAAGATGAAGGCCACATAAAAAATTAAAGGATTTTTTAAAATTAATAATAATTAAAATGAGATCTCATGTGTTTATATTGTTATTGGGACCAAACTGTTGGAGCAGCTCAACGATGTGGAGGAGAGGTGGAAGCATAATGTTTCAGTGTTTGGTATTACATGAAAGTCCCAATCCAAAGCAGTGCCCTAAGGGAAGGGGGGAGGAGGCAGTGGTGCGGTGCCTTGGTGGTGCAGTGCCTTGCAGGACTGGGGCCATACAAGCATCTTTTACAGTGTGAAGTCCAGCTCCTGGCACAGGGCTCTCTCCCTTCTGCAAGCTCCTGCAACAACCTTCTGGTTTTATAGTGGAAGAATTTCCAGTGAGCAGGTGAGGCACGAAGCAGGCTGTGTGACCCTGGCAGCTGCCTTTTCCTCTTCATGTGCTCATAGGTCTGTCCTCCCTGTATTGGGGTTCCTCCTCCAAATATGACATTCTTTCACCAGAATGGAGGTGACTTCTGTGTTAAATTGTGAAGGTCAGACTGTTTGGATGTGTGCCCCTGACACAGAGCCGTGGGGAAACGCTGCCACAGAATCCACCAGAGTGCTTCTCTTTGGAGTGGGAATTGATGTTCTGTAAGGAGCCAGATCCCCTGCTTGTAAATCAGTTCCGTTTGTAATATCTGTCAAGTGTTTGGGGACACCTAGGTATCTGATGCTGTATAAATGTCAGTTGTTATTACAGTTGCTTGCTCAGGTTATTGATTTCTCCCCTGCTGTTCTCCCCAGGATGGAGTGATTTGAGGCCTTAGGTAGATGAGCTCTTCCTCCTCCAGTTTGTCTTGCATACACTGTACATCAAACCTGCTTCCCCCAGCCTGCGGTGCAGTTTGTGTGTATCATTACCTGTTAGAACTTCTCCACTTCAGCTTTGTATCCCTTCAGCACTGCAGGTTAAACAGTGCTGAGCTACTGAGTTCATTCTCTGCAGCTCAGAACATCTTCTGTGATCCTTGTAGTGTTGTTCTGTGGATTTTTGTATTCTGCTCCTCTTCCAGTGCACACATCCACACCCATTTACCCTTTATCCTATGAATTCTGCTCTTGTTCGAATGAGAATGTTCGGCTCTGTTATTCTAGTCTGAAGGACAAGGTTATCATTCTACCTCCTAGCAAATGTGCTGCCCTAACCTTTGAAAGATCAGCTGTGAAATGCAAACCTTTGGCAGGATCTGATCCCTCTGGATTCCTCGCAGTGTTAGTTTTGCACTCGAAGCTTATTCGAAGCTCCAGAAAGTCCCTGCTCACCCCCATCCCGTTTCTCTTGGTATGATAGCAATAGGAATTTTTTCTTCTACTCCAGGAAAAATTAGAGCTTTTATTGGCAGATGGGGCCAGTTGTGATTATTTAGGCAAGACTTCTCAGAAGCACTGATGTACAAGCCTGTTTTTCTAAATGAGCAGCATCAGAGGCAGTAAGGCATGATGGATGTGTCCAAGTGTTTGCAGGGCAGATGTTATGCTGCCCTTTGGGGATATGTGCTCTCTGAACTTCAATGCTTTAAAAACCTTTGCTGGCTTTCTCAAGTCGCATGGGTGCTTTCCAAGTGTAAGTAGCCCAAGGAATGCTCAGTCTGTTCTCTTCTAGTCACGCTAGAAAAACCTCATTTCCACTGCTGCAGTGGGTAAGTGGGTTTCAGGGGTACCCTAAGCAGGTCTGTCTGGCGTCACTGGCACAGTAAGGAATGCTGGTGAGAACTGGCTGTGCACAAGTGGTGGGACCCACCAACCTGCAGAGCAGACGCTCTGGCCCACTCAGCTTTTTAATTAGGACCAGATCCTTTCCTGGAAGCCCTCCCTGCATCAACATGTTGCCGTGCCAGGTGCTGGGGAAGCACAGCATCAGAAGAGAGACTCCTGGTCCCAAAGAACTTGCGATTTGCAGTGCAATTAAAGGCGGTTGCTGCTTGAATCTCATCTGCTAACAGTTGTTCTGCTATCAGAAAGTGCAGCTTGGCTAACTGCCCTGAATATCATCCTGGTAAGCCTTGCAACCAGTCCTTCCAGACCCCAAGCTGCTAGCTGTGCATGAGATAGCTGCTGTAGAGTTCGGTTCCATGTCAGCTCAGCTGCAGCTGTGCTATGTAGCTGATCTGACCAGCTGCACTCAGAATTACAAATTCAGTTATTTGACTTGACTGGGAGAAAGAGCAGGTCGGTGTCAGAAACAGGAGCAGAAATAACATTTCACGGCTCTTAGGCTAGGTCCTGTCTGCTGCATCTACTCCATCTTTGCTTCCTGGCAGCATGAACGGCACTAAATGGTTCTAGCAAAGCGGAAAGGGCATGGGGTTCCTTTGTGCTTGGCAGGGAACTCAATAGAAATGCAGGGAGGGCAGGAAAAAGGACTCATTTTCACCTGAATGGGAACGAGAGACACTTTTATGGGTTTCTTTCCCTTTGTGTGCGCTGGGAGCAAGGGGCAATAAATTGGAGGATTTTTATATCTTGCACAAAAGCTGACGTTGCTAAAATATTGCATTATTGCCAGCTGCCATAAATGAGCTCTTGAAAGAGACACAGCTGGACCCGGTGAATATGGGGGCGAAGCGATTACCGGAAGCCATCAACCGGCTCTGGAAGAACTGTAGGAAAGTCAATAAGTTATTAACACTACTTTTTGGATTATCTGGGTTCCTGAAGAGATTGCTCTCCCACTGCTTAAGTAAACGGTGTTTTTGTTATGCAAAGCTATGGATTGTCATCCTCTCTCACGCTCCCTACTCAAAGTCCTGGAGTCTAAATTAGGAGAGAATAGATCCAAGGAAAAAAAGCAATGTGTTCTCAGCTCGGGGTTTAAAGATGCTGCTGTTCTCCCTTTCTGCTCTCCTGGGGAATTATATCTTGTTCCTCGGATATCAGGGATGGCCAAGAAGGCTACTTAAAAGAGCTGTTCTCTTCAGTGTCTCTGGATTTCTCGGTAATGACTCTTGTGAATAGTGACTTGAAATGCCATTTTGCTGCTCTGAACAGACAGATATCACCATACCTAATAGCAAAGACTTTGGGCATCAGATCTGGGAATGGATGATGCTGGCTGCCATGGGGGGGTCCAAGGAAATGAAGCCCAACGCAGGGGGAAATGCACGCCCGCTTCTCTGTGTCTCAACGTCCTGCTTTCGGTGCTGCCACTGAAAAGGGTTCTTGGCAGCCAAAAGAACTTTGCAAGGTGATGGTGAGAAATGGTTGAAGGAGGTGAACCATATCCAGTGGTTGGGGATGGATATCCCCGGGTGTTTAGATCACAAGAAGAAAGTCTGTGTTCTGATGGTGAAGTAACAGGGAAGAATGCACTGTTTCTTTCTGGGGTGAAGTCTCTGTTTTAATGATGTTGGGGTGGCGCAGGAAGGGAAGCTGTTGGACCATTCAGACTTGTGAAGGAAATGAAGTGCTGCCCCATCCTTCCAGAGCCTTCTGAACACTTTTGTGGGATGTTTTGTCCACTGGAAAACTTTCAGGAGCTGTAAAGAGTGGTAGATTAGCAAAGAGGGCTCCTGCTTGGATGCTGAGTTTCTCAAGGGGAATTCTCCTTCATTCTTGTCGTCCTCCTCCACATACATTAAATTAATTTACTTACTTGATGGACCATGTCTCTATCACTGGGAAAGCAGAATGTAAACTACTTTTTATATACACATTTCTTGCACCATTAAACTATTATTTCTGTGACAGAACCTATGAATAAGTTACAAGAGGTAACCTAGCCTGTTCTTAGGACATCCCTTTCTGTATTAAATGCAGCGTATGAGCATCTGCTCTTAACTCTTCATGTACAATCCAGTTTTTTTTAAAAAAAAAAAAAAGGTTTGTAAATGATAGTGATAATTATGGGGTGCTAAAGCTTCCTCTGTCAGAGCCTTCCTTTGTGGTGGGATCAAGTGTTGCTCGGTAGGACTGGTGGAACTGCAGGAGTGAGGCTTATAGGCACATGGCTGGAAGGGAAGGGCTTTTCCAGCGGCAGAGCGTTGGTAGGAGCAGCTCTGCAGCCTTCCTTCCTCCCCATCCGGCTGGCAGCAGATGGGGGAGAAAGAAGTGGGCAGGAGGCTGAGAAAAAGCTTGTTAACAAAATTTGTTTAAACATTTAGTGTCTCTGCTGCTGTTCCTCTGCATTGAGCACGCATGACAGGGGGTAATTTATGTCCCGAAATTACAATCCATATGAATTAGCTTGGCACAAATACATCATTTCCTAATAATATAGACAAGATGCTTCAAGGAATGATGATGAGAACAGCCCATTTCTATATGTTCTGCTTTACCTGCTGAGTAATTATCTCATCATTTTCTCCTAGTGATATAAAAGGAATCTTATTCCCCCTACCCTGCACCCACCCTGTAATGCAACAAGTGCTGCTGCAATACAAGAGCTCTGAAATACCAATGGTAGATCCCTTTTGGAGCACCTTGCCCATGGGTTGGTGTAGAAGGACAGATGTTGGGGTCAGCTGGAGACCCGTGTGGTTTGGGGGAACTTCCTTCTGTCAGCTCAGCAGAGAGAAACTTCACATCTGTTCCAAGATGGGCTGTTGAGTGTGAGGGGTGAGTGTGAGGCCACCAATGTGCTCACACACCTTGCTTAGGTTCTGCCAGCCCGCATCACAAATAAACAGCTCTCCATTTTGGTGCTATGTGCTTTATTTGGTGCTGTAATCCTGTAGCACAGCCTTTCCCTTCCCCTTGTTTTGTGCAGCACTGTGCCCAGGGGTTTCCTGAAAGATGATTTCGACTTCTAGATTCACCTGCAATATTAATGATTGAATTGCCAATTAGTCGAGAGGCACTGGGCTAGATTTTCTTTAATGTTCTGTTCCCTTCCCTTACTCTGCATTCTAAGGAAGGCTCTAAGGAGCTCTGGGACAAAGGTCTCTCTCCATCACCTGTGTGTATGACTTCCCATAACCTTGTTTATGACTGCCTCGTGTTACCATAGTGATAAATAACGATTTAAAAGCCTTAAATCTGGTACAGTAGCACAGAGTCCTTGCAGAGCTGGTGATTGGCTGGGTCTTGGTGCACACACCAACACTTGAACCCTTTTCTTTGCTCCCATTTCATAGGTTGCCAAAACTCAAAA